TAAAAAGCCCAATCCAAAATTGGGCATCTGAGATGAATACACAATTCTCAGGTGAAGAAATACAACAGCCAATAAATACATGAAAATGTTTGACATCACTGGTCCATTAGAGATAGGCAAATTAAAACACTGAGATTCTGTCTCACCACAGAAAGAAATGACTATTATCAAGAAATCAACCAATAACAGATTTGAAGGAGCTGTGGAGAAAAAAGAAACCCTTCTTCACTGTTGGTGGGAGTGTAGACTGATGCAACCACTGTCAATCAATGAGATTCCTCAAGAGTAGGATTGGAGGTCCCATTTGACACAATCATTCCCCTCCTGGATATCTTCCCAGGAGAACTAATATTGCACCACAGCAATATATATGCACCTATGTTTATAGCAGTACAATTTGTAGTAGCTTGATCTTGGAAACAACCCAAATGCCAATCAACTGAGGAATGGATAAAAAAAAAAAGATGTGGTCTTTTTATACAATGGAGTACTCCTCAGCCTTAAAGAATGGTAAACTGCAGATGTTTATAGGTAAATGGATGCAACTCGAGTCCATATTCATAAGTGAAATAAACCAGACTCACATGTGTAAACACTGTATTGTCTCCCTAGTGTGAGCGGAAAGAATAAATAAGATCCAAAATATACAGTAGATATTGTAAAAATGGAAAAAATTGTAAAAAGGAAAGTGAAACTGGAATGGGGAAATAAGAGAAAAAGAAAGAAAAAAAAGTTAAGATCATTATAATATTAATTTCTCTTAGATTTCTCTTAGTTCACTATAAAGAAAAGTTTATGTTAATATTGTTTGGAGAATTTAATGCCTATATATTGTACTCTGCATAACTAAAGATAATAATATGCAACATATTAACCATTGTTACTCTCCTATTGCTTTGAAATTGTGTTTTACTTCTGTCACTTCAAAATAATTTTTTAAAAAGATGAAACAAAATTAACTCCAATGAAGGGTCACCTAGATTTTTTAAATACAACTTTCTCTTCCAAAGAAGTCTTTAAAAAAAAAAAAAAAAACCAATCTGAGCCAGACCTGGGTACACATGTGTAATCCTGGCACTCAGGTCAAGGAAGGACACCACAGATACAAAGTGAATTCAAGACCTGCCTGAGCTTATAGCACACAAGTCTTTGCCTCAAAAAAACAGAAACAAAAAAATTGTGACAGGTTCACTGGAAGAAATCTGTAAGTGGGGCTAGGGGTATAGCTCAGCAGCACAGTGCCTGTCTGGCAAGCACAATGTGAGTTCAATTCCCAGCACCAGAAAGACAGAAGAAGGAAAGAAGGAAGGGAGGGGGACAGAGAGAAAGAAAGAAGGAAAGAAATCAAGAAAGAAAGAAACAAACCTGAAAGATACTTTCATTCTTTTCCTAAATTTACCCACGACAAAATATTTTGTTTTGTCTTGATTTATAGTACTGGGCGATTCAACTCACAGCCTTGTGGAGGTGAGTACTTTACCAAAATTTAAAATTTTTATTTTGAGACATGGTTTTGCTAAAATTGCCCAGTCTGATCTTGCTTCACGTTCCTGAGTAGCCAGGTATTCAAGTACATATGAGCAGGAACGTTAATAAACTATTTTCTTAAATAATTCCCTTGTAAGTGTTTCTCGACCAGCAGCCTTACCAGAAAAGTTGGGCCCTACTCCATGTTCACTGCCAGAAACCATGGGGGTGAGGTGCGGTAATCAGTAGTAGTTTTAACAAGCCCACCAGGTGATTATAATGCAGTGCTGAATGAATGTATGTTTCTATGCACATTTACTCAAGTGTAAAGACAAGACCCAACATAAGATTTAATGTAGAATTCATCAATATTTATCAATGTTTACTATTACATGCTTGCAGTACCTAATAATTATATTCACCATGTGGAATTAGTACACATAACATGTATTAATCCTTTTTACATTTCCCTCCCCTTCCAAATGGTGGCTGTGGGCCACTAAGCATAGATCCCAGCACTCTGGGGCACTAGGGCAGGAAGATAGCAAACTCAAGGCTTGTTAGTGAGCCTTTGTCTCAAATTTTTAAAAAAAGATCTGAGGATTTGGCTCAGTGGTATAGTGCCCTTGGGTTCAGGACACAGTAATAAGCAGAAAACAAAACCAAACCAAAAAAGAGCTATCTATACTGCAAAATGCCAGGGTTCTGGGAATCTCACAGTGAGTCTCACTTATTATATGATTAATATTAAGTATAAAAGACTAGAACAGATTTTTGATTATAGTATATCTGAGTTGTATTACATGACAATTTTGTGAACATTAATAAGGAATTTTATTACTATAAAAATAGGGGACAGAAAAAGATCATGATATCAATTTAAAGTGATGCAAATAAAAACACTAAGAATGGCTGCTGTGCTTTTGGTGCAGGGTAGGGGTGGGCTAGACAATTTAGTGCTACAGTTAGAAATGAAAAAGCAAATATGCCATGGGATTCTTTTGTTCTTGTTGCCAGAGAATTTTTGAAAAGATTGATAAGCAACTGTCAAATATCAGGTAATGAAACACTTAAAAATTCTTAGTAATTTCTGAAAAACAAAAATACATATTATAGGGGCTGGGGATTTAGCTCAGTGGCATAAGCGCCTGTCTGGCAAGCGCAAGGTCGTGAGTTCCATCCCTGGGTACCGCCAAAAATAAATAAATAAATAAAATACAGATTATAGAGGAAAGACTAACATCCCAGACACTGTGGCTCTGAGCTGCACATATGAACTCTAATAGCAGCTGGACCACTGAAACATGCACACAAATAGAAAAGCATGATAAATATACAGATTCTAACAGTCCCAAAACAATATATTCTCTGATCAGAAGACTTACACTGTTGCAGCTATGGCTAATCTCATTATGTCCTCAAATCCTGCGAGAGGTAGGGGCAATTTTTCTTTTTTTGAGCTAGGGTTTCACTATGTAGTTCAGACTGGCCTTGAACTCACTACATGGAGTGAACTGATCTCAAATTCATGGTGATCATTGTGCTGGGATTACAGGTATGCACTACTACCCACGAGAAGATGGTTTTTCTTGAACAAATGTTTTAGGTTCCCTGTATCCCAACTTTCTTCGGAAGACTCAGTTTTGGAGTTATAAGGTTAACTAAGAAGTGTAAATCTTCTTTGACTCAAGTATTCTAGAAATAACAAAACCAAGAAGGAACTAGATGAGCTTCCACTCAACTTCTATTTTGTACTTTAAACAATCGGTCTTATCTTCTATTGGAAACTCCACTGTTGCTGACAATTTAAAAAAGTGAGTTACTTTGAACAACTCTTCAAACACCTAAAAAAGGTGTTTATCCAATCTGGTGTGGCTCTACAATGTCATTCCTGAGGGAGGATAGTCTGTTTTTAGTAAGCACAGGAAGGCCAAACAGGAATCAGAACTGAAGTCTTTTTGCCTATAAACCCAGCAGTCCCCTTTTAAAATCCTCATTTAATTACACAGCATACTAAAACTTACAGATTAAGGGTTTCACCATTTAGTCTGAAACGTATCAAACTGAAAAGCATTCCTCTTGTCCAACTAAGTGTTAGTTCTGAGGCACTGCCAGGCACTAAGCTGCCCTCTATCAATCATTGGAAATGCCCTACTGCGATTTGTACCAGTATGCACAGGTTAACCTACACCTAAGTATCTATAAACTTCTTCACTTACATGTCTTTCTACTTTCCTGTCTTTTGGCCAACTAGGGGTACCCTTACCATCGATAGGTGTGGCAATACCCAGGAAAAAGCCAAACTCATAGTAACTTAAGAGCGTGAATCTTCAATGGTGTACTCTGAAAGGAGTCTATCATAGCTGGTCACAATCCAGGGAGGAAATACAATTGAATTCACAAAGTCAGCCCCTAAGAGGGACCCATTCTCAACTAGATTCTTTAAGCTATTAAAAATGTTTTAATTGAAAAAACCGAAATTTGGGTGAGGGATATAGCTCAGTGGCATAAGTACCTGCCTGGCAAGTGCAACGTCCTGAGTTCGATTCCTGACACACACACAAAAAAGGAGAAATCATGGGGGGAAAAAAAAACAAAAACCAAGTTTGTAGAACTGGCCACCAAGCAGGAGAAAATGTTAGTGTAAAGCGGGTGGTTAACTTATAACATAACCTTTCAAGGACTCTTTGAGTAAATGTGATCAGACACTAAACCAAACTCCTATCAAACGTTGCCACATTTACAGCTCTGAATGATTACTGAAGGGACGTTTCATGACTACTTCCAGAGATGTATTCTACATCACTAATCTACATCACAAGATACTATGAAAGACCAGAAGACATTTAAAAACAGATGCATTCTGTCCTGTTAAATCCCAGCTCCAAGAACTCTGAGGCAGGAGGACTGTTTTGACTCCAGGAATTAAATAATAATTTTGTTTTGTTTTGGAGACACGGTCTCCAAAATGCAATTTAGGCTGGCCTTGAACTAATGATCCTCTTGCCTCAGCCTCCAGAGTGCTGAGATTACAGACAAGCACCACCACAAAAAAATTTTTTAAAAATACTTTAAAAGACAACACAACATATCCCAGAACCCTTTCAAGGAAAAGTTCACCTGGTTACTCAGTGCACAATAAAGTACAGCAGTGCTGTATGCTACATTCCTGTTTATTCATGGGTACATCAAAGGAGTTTCATAGTGAAAAATAAGACCCCTTAGGTAATCTAGGTCAATGCCCTTGTTTTCCTAAGCAAGTAAACGGTTGAGAGACAAGGCTAGCAGAGATTACAGTGTGAGGAGGGACTGAAGTTAACGCCCACGGGCCTTCTGACTGTACCTGCCTTGCTGTCTTACTTTCATGAGTCCATTCCTATCACCTGCGAAGTGAATGTAGCATTAGCTCGGCCTTGCTCCCTTCACTCCAGCTATGTTCACTGGCACTTTAGGGTAACAAACAGGTCTACCCTGTTTCTCACAAGCAGACCCAATTCCAAATGAGACAAATACAAAAAGCAAAAGGATATTACCTCATGTTCTTTCTCCTGCAGCAAAAGAACAATGTCTCCTGGCTCCACTCCTGGGGCCTGGTCTGCCTCCCCAGTGAATGTAATTCTCTGTCCATGTTTCATGCCTTTGTCTACATGAACTTCAAGAATCTTGACTTCTTTAATCACCTTCTTCCCTTCACATTTTTTACAGCGGTCCTTTTCATTAATTACCTCTCCTGGAAAGAGAGGTCATTCAGACTTCTAATACACATAATTCACTGCACACTTAAAAATGTAAGTTTGACAGTGTCTTTAATTCATTAAGTATATTTTCTAAACTTCTTTTAATCTCTTAACAAAATTTAAGTATTGTTCTGAATGACAAAAATTCACGCCTTATTAGACATTGCCTCAAGGACCCAGGTATCCACTATCCCAAGTAGCATGCCTTAGCAGTATGCTCCTGATTCTACTTTCAACTCACTATATAATCCTGGCTGGTCTGAACCAAGGCAAGCCTTCTGCCTCAGCCTCTCAAGTGCTGGGATTATAGATGTGTACCACCACGCCCAGCTTGACTCTACTTTTAAAACTAAAACAAGGCCCAAGAATCAAGAAAACATTTGGGTGAAGAGAAGTTGAAGCATTTTTTTGTTCCGGTTCTAATTTTGTGTTAGTTGAACGATAGACAGAATTCTAATAAAATTGTAAATATTCTTTATGGCCCATTATTAAATTGCATATGTAGTACTGGAGTTTATTTCAAACAACCTTGCTTAGGATTCCCACCAGTTTCCTTTTGTTGTCTGCTGTGGCGCTGGAGATCAAACTCAGGGCCTTTTGCAAGCAAAGCACATGCTCTGTCACTGAGACACACCCCCTAGCCAGGTCTTCCTTTTATTTATACTATCAAATAAAATGGAGATCTAAGGTTTTTGCTGGTTTTTTTTTTTTTTTTTTTGGTCTTTTTTGAGACAGGGTCTTGCTATACAGTTCAGGCTGGCCTTGAGCTCACTTTGTAGCCCAGGCTGATCTCAAACTGGCCAATGATCCTCCCACCTCAGTCTCCCGAGTGCTGGGATTACAGGCGTGAGCCACCACGCCTGGCGTGAGATCTAAGTTAATCTAAGTTTTTAATGTCTGATTAAGTATATAATTAATAATGAATAACTTCAAGCCAGGCATGCTGGTGCACACCTGTAATCCCAGCACTGAGGCTGGGGCAGGAGGATCGCTGGGATCCCAGGGAGCGTCCCAGGGAGGCTGAGGTAGGAGGATCGATGTGAGTTCAAGACTAGCCTAGGCTACAAAGTGAGCTCTAGGTCAGCCCGATCATTGTGAGCTCAAGGCCAGCCTGAACTGCACAGCTAGACCCTATCTCAGAAAGACAAAAAAAAAAAAAAAAATTTATTAACTTCAGGGACTATTTCTAGAGCAGTACTTTTGCTTTTTTTTTTTTTTTTTTTTTTGAGACAGTGTCTCAGTATACAATTCAGGCTGGCCTTAAACTATTATATTGCCCAGGCTAACTTTGAACTCATAGTGATCTTCCTGCCTCAGTCTGAGTGCTGGAATTATAGGCAAGTGCCACCACACCCAGCAAAAGCAGTACTTTTGCAAAGTATGCTTTGTGAAACAATTCTTCCAGACAATGGGGAAAGATTTCAGTTAACTTGGCCTTCTTGGTATCAGGAATTGTTAGCAACTTTAAGAAAGTAAAATTCAGGGAGACTGTAGGAGGGGAATATAATACCTAACTTAAAATTACCTCATGAGTTCCAAGAAAAATTTGGAAGAGTGCTTTATAACTGCATTGTCTAATAGGGCAGTCACTAACCACATGTGATTATTTAAACCTTAATTAACCAAAATGAGGGCTAGAGTATATTTCAGTGGTGGAGTTCTTGCCTAATATGGGCAAGGCCTGGGTTCAACTCTCAGCACCACAAATTAATTTACCATGGAAAGCAATCAAAATGAAGAAAAGCTCAGTTTCACATTTCTTCTTTTTTGTATTGCTGGGGATCAAACCGAGGGCCTTGAGCATGCTTGGCAACCACTCGGCCACTGAGCTACAGTTCCCATTCCTACCAGCTACTACAGATACAAAACATTTCCATTATCACAAGGAAAAAAATCTACCGAGTAGGTAACACTGCTCTATGAACAGAGGTTATGTCACAAGCCAAACCAGTTACTTTGCTTATTTTTATAAAATCTTACTAGGAGGACACAGACATGCTCACTTGTTTATACAAAGTGGCTATAAAAGCAGTAAAAGGATATAGGTGAGTAATTGTGACAGAAATTATTTGACCCATAGTATTCATTTCTGTGACAAAAACTTCAACATTTCCAAAACTTCCCATGATGAATATAACCATTATGTACTGCAAACACATACAACTGGAAAAAAAAGAACTTTAGCCAGGTGTGGTGGTACACACCTATAATCCCAGCACTTGGGAGGCTGAGGCAGAACTGCCATAATCTGGGATAGTAGTGAGTTCAAGGCCAGCTTACACTACAAAGCAAGACACTGCCTCAAAAACAAAAAACCTGACATCGAGGACAACAACAACAAACCCTACTTCAATCCTAGGACCTATCCCCAAATTCAATAAAGCTTACAATAAAATCCTCCATTCATCAGAATAACTAAGCAATTTACCATCTTATTATTTACCAAACATTATAATCTTTTAAAATGTAAAGGGGAAAATAATCATTTTGTCCACCTTCCCAAAATTAAAAAGACTAATCTATCTGGAGTTAGAGGTGTAGCTCAGAGGTAGAGTTCAGTGAAAGCAGGCATGAGGCTCAATCCTCAATACCAATAAAAAGATTAATCTTTCCACTTAACATAATACAAATTTATTATTTAACTGTGTTCGCTGGACCTAGGTATAATGAAATAATTTTCATACTTTATGAACTCTCTTATGAATACAAATTCACTATGAAAAAGAAAAATTGTAAGTCTCTATTATCTGCATTCCCAATCCAGTCTAACATAAAAGCAAAGAAACACTGGCACATGTACCTTCTCCATTACAGTCAGAGCATACAGACTGCATCTGCTGCACCATTCCTGGAGCCAGTTGTCTGATCATAATGCGAACACCTCGACCTCGGCAAGCACTACATTTCTGGACAGCTCCAGATTTTCCACCTTGACTAAAGCAAGCAAAGGTTATCAATTAGATTTTTGCCCACAGATTTTTCCAGTAAGTTACAGTAATAGGAATTGTTCTTTTTTTTTTTTCCTTGCAGTTCTGAGGACTGAACCCAGGGCCTTGAACATGCCAGGCACTGTTCTTTTTACATTCACCTTCAACTCCCAGTAACTCGTGACTTCGGAGGTATCAGAAAACGCTCTTTCTGATGGGTAGTAGGTTTCAAGTCACAATTTCTACTCAGTAGTTTTAGAATGGAAGTTAAAACAATATACAAAACATACAGCATAAAGCAGAACATACTTACCCACTGCATGCACTACAGAGTACATTCTTGCTAAGTTGTAGTTTGGTTGTTTTGCCATTATACAGATCTTCTAAGGATACTCTGGGAAGAAAAGAATCAGGTTCAACCAAATTTTGCAAAATTTTAAAAATGTAAGATACAGTGGATTAACTGCAAATTTCAATGCAAATGTTTTGTTTTCTGATACCGGGATCAAACTTAGGCAGGCACTTACGCTGCTGAGCTAAAATCTCCACCCTTTCCACTGTAACTTTTTAAAACAAAGAATTCAAAGAGACTTCTACTATATCAATTCAGCCAACTGAGGTTTTATTTTGTCACTCACATTCAGAGATGATGGACCATAAATATTATGTTTAAAACCAGGAAACTACAGCTATCAGGCCAACAATTTATCACAAAATTTCTGACAGAGCTGACTGATTATACAAACTGAAGCAAAAGGAAACAGCTTTATCTGACCTTAAAGGCACGAACCCTTCACCTAAATATGAGTAACTTCATCAAAGAGGTACAAGTATTGTTCCCATTTTACATAATAAAGCTGAAGCACAAAGAGGTTAACAAACTTGTTCAATATGACAAAAGCATCTGAATCCAAATCCAGGCTTTGCGAACAAGGCTGTTCTCTCTTCCTGGACAATTAGAAGGTACAAAGCTATATTACTGCTTAAGAAACTTAGAGGGGAGAGGCCAGGGATATAGCTCAGCAGTACAGCACCTGCCTGGCAAGTGCAAGATCCTGAGTTCAGATAACAGGTACAAAAAAAGAAAAAAAAAAAAAGATGAGCCAAGCGAGCTGAGGCAGAGGATCATTGTGTGTTCAAGACCAGTATGGGCTATGAAGCGAGCTCAAGGGCAGCCTCAACTGCATAGTGAGACGGTCTCTCAAAGCAAAAAAAAAAAAAGGAACTTAGAACAGGTAAAGCATTGGGTTCAATAATCTCCAGCTCCATAAAAACAAATCACATGCATCATAAGTTTTGCCAATATTATTCAATTAGGATTTTGCAGCATTGCATTTCCTAACTTAGTTTTATACTTCTTGATTTAAACTCTCCTTTAAGGGGCTGAGGATTTAGCTCAGCAGCATAAGCACCTGCCTTGCAAGCATGCGGTCGTGAGTTCGATCCCTGGTACCGATAAAAATGAAAAAGACAAAAAAAAAAAAAAAACCTCTCCTTTAAAAAAATGTTTTTGGGCCAGGGATATAAGCTCAGCAGCACAGCGCCTGCCAGGCAAGCGCGAGGTCATGGGTTCAATTCCTGGTATCAAAAAAATAAAAATAAAAATAGTTTTTTTGGTGGAACTGGAACTAAATCCAGGGCCTTGTGAATGGTAGGAAAGCACTCTACCATTCATCCTTCCTTCCTCCTCCTTTCTTCTTCCTTTCCTTGCATCCCTAGCCACTGAAATTCCTTTAGGGATAACGATTTACTTTAAAATACTAGAAGCTAAAGAAACAAACGACATCTTTAAAAGGCACACTACTACATTATGATATCTAAACTTTCTCAAGTTGTATTTTTAAGGTAGAAGTTTTATTCATCGTAGGCAATATAAAGATAAAACACCAAAGGACAAAACCTATCCACACCATTTTGAAATAACGATATGCCTGTATTTTCAGCCTTTAACAAAAATCATATGTTCCCACCTATGTTTTTATATTACTGATAGGAATGTTTAACTAAAGTTTTGGCAGATTATTTTTAACCCTACATATTAAGTTCTAATTTCTACACAAAACCACTATCTCACTATCCCATAAGTCATCAAAATCTGTATTTCAACAAACACAGCTAAGGAATGAAAAAATAGCAAAATCTTTAACAAGACAATTCAGTTGTATTTATCAGTCACAAAACACTGATGAAACACAAAGCTATACATAAGACATTTACAGTAACAGTACAGAAAATATCAACAAGAATCCAGATAAAGGGGCTGGGGATTTAGCTCAGCGGCATTAATGCCTGCCTTGCAAGCAGGCAGTCATGAGTTCGATCCCCAATACCGATAAAAAGGAAAAAGACAAAAAAAAAAAAAAAAAAAAAGAATCCAGATAAAAAGGTGAATGATTAAACACACCATAAAATGGAATACAATAAGACCATCCAAAAGGCAATGTTTGCAATAGGAAATTTTCAAAATGTTAAATCTTCAGACAAGTGCATTTACTATATAGTATGAAAACTTTCTGCGAACATGATCATAAGGTATGGTAAACATTCTCAAATTTATTTACCTTTCATCTATTTACTTTTTACACCATAAAAACTCCTGTATCACAGAAAAATATGAAAGAAGTAACTCATGCTGCACAAATATTACTCTTGGGAGTGATGGCCAAGTAATACTTCTGAGAGTAAACTCTTTTAAAATATGTATAAATTGTAAGATGAGACTCAAGATAACAAATTAACATAAATTCTAATATACTCAAATATGAAACATATTTCATTTCATATACTCAAATATGAAACAAAAAATATTTTACTTTCTTAAATATTTTAAACATACTTTTTTTTTTTTTTTGTCTTTTTGAGACAGGGTCTTGCTATACAGTTCAGGCTGGCCTTGAGCTTATTTTGTAGCCCAGGCTGGTCTCGAACTTCCAAGGATCCTCCTGCCTCAGCCTCCGAGTGCTGGGATTACAGGCGTGAGCCACCATGCCCAGCTCTTAAACATACATTTTGAACCTTGGTCTTGGCATTTGCTAGTTAAAACATTATTCATGAAAATATTAATGGCACAAAATACTTTCACCAATCTTGCAGAGTATTTTCATACTGTGGGAAGCTTTTTGGAGCCAGGTTGATAACATTCATACGTTAATGCCAGGTTAATTCCAGGCTAGAAGCCAGAAAGCTCCATGGAAATCATTTTAGGAGAGTTCACACTGAGGATTAAGTAATAAGTGACTATAATACCTAAACGCACTAGACAGACATTTCATAAGTTTTTAAATAATCACAAAACAAGCAGCCTCAGAAGTATATGAAAATATTACCCTGCCACTCAGTAAACACTATCAATCCCCCTTGCAGATTTGAAGCAAAACACAAGCATCCAATTACCAAATTATTTTAGTTACCTAATGAACACAGTAAGACAAGTTTTTTAAATGATGAAGCACAGAACATCCTGATGCTTCTCTTTCCACTGGAAATTAAAAAAAAAAAAAAAAAACAAGATACTCACTTGAGTGGATGCATCATGTCTTCGCCTCTTCTCCTGCCGTTTCGACTTCTACTCTGATTGCCCATAAAGCCAAATAATCCTCCACCAAAAATGTGAGAGAAAATATCATCCATGCCGCCACCTCCACCGCTACCTTCCCGAAGACCTTGTTCTCCATATCTGTCATATAACTCGCGTTTCTCTGGATTTGACAATACTTCATATGCAAAACTTATTTCTTTAAACTATAAACAAAGAGTTCCACGTTGAAACAGGGGAATGGGGGAAGGCCAAAGAAACCCAGAACCCACTCAACTAATAGAATCTTCAAGTTTTCTTTGGTTCAATTCTGTTCCTATTTACCACCTATTACCACTGCTCAGAATATTAGCACTACTGTATTCCCATTACAAAATTAAAATACAAAGTTTGAATCAATGGCTATATATGGTTTTTTCCTACAATACTGCTCTTTTCATGGAGAGTGATTTAAGTTTAAAATTAAAATCTCAGGAATAAAAAAACTTTCAAATAACTTACTTTGTCTCCAGCATTTGGATTCTTATCAGGATGATACTCCTTGGCTAACTTTCTGTATGCCTTCAAAAAAGATTTTAAAAAAGGGTTATAAGAAACACCAGTTTAAAAATTTGTAGTAACTCAACCTACTTTTCTAAGAAGAAGCACGCTGAAATCTTAACTTTCCAAGAAAATCATCTATGAATCAAGACTGCTTGGTTTTTTCCATCAGTACTATTTATGGTATTGATGGACAGTAGTTATACTTGGGAATAGATTACACTAAGTAAAAACCAGATACAATGAAAGGACGCTACAAAAAAAATATTGAAACATTATTCCGTGTCTTCACCATTTTCAATTGTCTTTGATGGCCAAGAAAGACGTTAAAACGCAGGACAGAAGATTAAGCTTCATGTGGTCTGCAAACCATTACTATGAATTAGGCTAAAGCAATAATCCCTGCCCATGACGGCTGTTGTTTTTTATGGCTCCTGTTTTCTAAGAGCATAAAAATGTCATAAGATGGTGTTTTGGGGTGTTTAACGTGCATGCCATTGGGTGATGGGGTCTAACGTGACCTTGGTCTTAGTGACAAGCATATTCTCAGTTACGTGGTGCAGACACGAAGCATTCAAATCTTCATTCAGACTCATGAATTATATAATACCGACTAACATTTCCGGTAAGGTAACAGGAAGTCCATTTTACACGACTCCACCGGTCTCACCACCAAAGGAGCTTTCTCATTTTTCTCAGTTCACCAACGTTGATACTCTGGGTTGAAACCCAGGGGGATGCTGGGCTGGAAGCGGGAGCACTTAATGAAACGCCTCCAGTGGCTTTGCGATCCGGAGATGAAAGGTTTTTGTACTACTACCCAGAGCGACAGGAAGACCTTTTCTTTTCAGGGTGCACTCAGGTGTTGGGCTGGGACCTGCGCTTCATTCCCGACGCCGGCAGACGGCCAGGCTACCTGTCCCCAGAACAAAGCCTGCAACCACAGACCCACGCCGCCTCAGGCTCTCCGGCCAAGGGAGGAAGAGGGAGGAGCTCGAGGACGGCGGCTGTGGCCCCGAGAAACAAACCAGCCCGCCTGGCTGCGGCAGGGGCGGCCTCGGCCTCCCCCGCCGCGCCGAGTCACTGCCCGGACACCCGGCACCGCGCCCCGACCTGTTTTTCCGGGGAAGTGACCCGGCGCGCGGAGGGCCAGCCGCCCCGTCTCCGAGCTCGCGGGCAGAGGAAGGGAGGCAAAGAGGATGCCGTCGGGTTTGCGCAAGGCGAGTTTCACCGGCTGCATCAGCGAGCGGGCACGCCGTGGCCCAAGGTCAGCCGAGGCCGGTTCCACGCCGGCCCAGCTCCATCGCGCGGCCGCACAGGCCCCGCAGGCCCTGCGCACCCTCCGCCCACCCGCGGCCCGGTACCTTCTTCAGCTCGTTCTCGCTGGCGCCGGGCGGGACACCCAGGATGTCGTACAGCTTCGTGTCGGCCACGTTCGCCATGGCGGCCTGCGAGGCAGCGCTCGGAGAGGATGGCGGCGGCGCACTGCGAGCGGAGCCGGGCCACGAGCAGCGGCGGCGCAGGCCTAGGGGAGACAGCGAGCGGAAGCGGGGCGGGGCCGAACTTTGACCCGGCGCACGACGCGCCGTGACGTCACCGCGCAGGTGCGCCTGTTCCCCTACCGGCAGTTGGTGCTTGAGTGGCGAATGATAGAGGTTCTCCCCTGGGCTCGAGTGTGGGGCGCGACGCGTGTCCGACGCAGGCGGTGAGGACAGGCTCGCGTGGCGTTTTCCTGAGCTCAGCCTGCGCCGGGAGCTTCCGTGGCTGTGACGCGCGTGGAGGGTCGCGCTCAGCACCCAGGCACTAGCGGACCCACAGGCCTGAGTCCCTCGGGCTTGCGGTGAAAACGGCATATGGGTGGGTGTTGTAGCTTGTGAAAATTGTCAGACATTCACCGAAAATGTATTCCTGAGTTTAATTATGTTACAGCAATTGATTTCACTTACCTTCCTCCCCACACCTCAAGTGTTGTGAAGGAAGCCATTCATAAAAACCCTAAATTTGAATATCTGTCACACCCTGTTAAGACGTAATCTTACTGTTAACACTATTGTTGATAACAATAATTATTTCCTAATTTGTACTTGGATTTTCCCATTCTTGAGCTTGTATAACTGATTCGTGGCATCCAGAGCCAAGGCGGGTTTGGCCCGTCCCGCCTTGCTCATGTTCAGACTCTCTCACTTGATAGCTTTAAAACTAGACAACCGGAAAAAAAAAAAAATTAGACAACCGCAGAAGGCTAGATGGTCTAAGGCAGTCTGGCTGCGCGCACTTGATGGTTTGGTGCCCACTGATGTACATTTGTTTTAGTTTAGCTCGGGATATGTTTGCACTGGCAGAGCTGTGTATGGAGACAGTGAAGTAATTTTTTTGGGGTTTTTTTTGGCACCTGAACTGGTAGCAAAGTCTTCAGCATAAGCCTGCCAATCAAGGTACTCCTTCTTGGCTTTCTATCTTGTGGAGGGCATTCAGTGCCATACCAAGAACTTTAAAATTGAATCTGAAAACCCTCAAGAGTACTAGGTCAGGTAGTATGTACTTGTAATCCCAACGGTCCGAGGTTGAGGAAGGAGGATGGAGTTTTGAGGCCAGCCGGGGCTACATAGTGAGACCCTCTCTCATCTGAAAATTAAACTCTTCAAGAATTTGATAATATATTACAGTGCTTTTTACACCAAATGTTCCCTTATCCTCAAATCCCTTCAGAAATTTTCTTTGACTCCACAACCTGGTGAACACTGCTGTCTCACTTGAGTTTCCACTCCTGTTAGTTTGTGTTTTTTGTGGACAGGTATGACTATGTCTGAACCCCTCCCTACACACATGCACATGCACACCACCAGCACCACCTCTGCTGTGGAATCCAATCCAGGCTTACTAGACAAGGGTTCTCCCACTGAGCTGCACTCATTTCTGAACTATAGGTTGGAGGATTCCTGCTGATACACCTGTAATCACAACTATTCAGGATTTATCACAATTCAAAACTAGCCTGGGTAGCTTACCAAAACTTAGTCTCAAAAAGAAATTTTAAAAATGTGTTGGAGCCTGGGGTAGTGGCACTCAGCCGTAATCTTCCCATTTGGGAGACTGAGCTGGGGCAATCCTGAGTTCAAGGTAAGCCTGGATTACATAATGAGACCCTGTCTCCAAAAAATAGGGAAGGAGGCTGTCTGGGGACGTCACTCAGTGAAGTGGTAGGGTGCTTCCCCAATATGCAGGTTCATCGTAAAGAAAAGGTAGAATTCCTTATAGGAGATTTGCTTACACTACTACAAAATACCATTTCTCTATTTTTTTTTAACGTTTTGAAATGTTCTTAAGTGACAGTATAAGATTGTGAAATTAAATCACATGTTGATAGCCTATGTCATTAACAGTGCCAAATTTAGCAAATTAAAAATTTTAATAAGGCTATTTCCTCAGTGTGAAATGAAGATTAATAATATTGTCTATATCATGAGCTCATTTAAAAACAACACAGAGTACTGAGAGCACAGTTAAAAGCAGTGAAATATTGGCCATTGGTCTTGTTCTTTATTCTTGTCTAGGCTATCTCTTCATCTCTATTGTCTTTATTAATTTAAGTTCCCTACTGGAATTCCCCAGTTTCCTCCATTATCCTTGTGGAATGCCCTCTGTCTCTTTTCAAGATTTCTTCTCCCTAGATCTCCTTGCTTACCACTTGAGCATTTTCTCTTATTTCTCCATTAGTTTCTGCTCCATATGGGAGTGTGAATTGAAAACTGTATCTTTATTGCAGCCTTCAGCCTTCATAGTTTATCTTAGTTTTATGTTTTTTCTACCCATGTGTGCTGAACTTTCCTCTGTTTCACTTTCATCTTTTTTTTTTCTCCAAAGGGAAAAATATCATCATGACTTAATTTTAATTTCTGATACCGTTTTTTTTATATGATCAATAATTTAAGTTATTATTTTTAAATTACTTACATATTTTAACATTTAATTGCAGTGTTAATTGTAGTCAACATGTTACTTGCTAATTTCATAGGTCAATAATCATTTCAGAACAGTACAGTATACTTCACCTGACACATGCTTCCTCTGTGTCACCATGGTTACGCCTTTCTCAGTAGGAGTGCTGTAACATTTCAGCCTCTGACTATATTGTTGAGTTGCCTCACTTACTTTAGCTCCTTTATTTAGCTCATACCATGAATGAGAAAAGACCTTTGTCACATTTCTCATCTCTGGCCCCTAAAATGCTGAGTTACAGTACAGCTGAGGGATTCGCTCATAGGAAAGTGATTTAAAGTTTGAAATTGGAGGATTTCAGATTTTAGCAAGGCTAATATCTCATTCGGTTCCTTTGTTTTGATTCAGTATGCTTGTAAAACTGTGTGGACTTGAGGGGCTCTCCAAGTGTGGGACAGTATTTGCAGTTCTAGTGTATGAATGACAGTACTATACTTTTGTTCCCAAGTAACTGAATACAGAAGTGTTATCTGTTACTTAGTAGACAACCCCATATATCTCATTCAGGCAGTTCAGAAAGTAGTTTTGCTTCCTAGCTTTCATTAGTTTTGACTATATAGAATAGGTGATACAAGTAAAAATATTTTTCAAAGATACAGAAGATGGTGCTAATGGTTCTTGTTAGGAGGGTGTCGGAACCAAAGAATTGATGATTGCTTTACTCTGGAAAAAACAGTTGTGGAATTTGGATCCTTAGGTAATCTCTAAATTCCTTGCAATATCTAAAGTAGGTTATTTTGGGGCAACACTATTATACAAGCATACATGTTGTACATATTATACAAGCACCACTGTTAACCTTTGAAACTCTTCTATATTAGCAGATTGTAAAATTTTTATTTTCTTGTATCATTGCAGTGGTACTGGTACACTTAGAAACAGTAAAGCTGAGGGAGCCACTCCTTTCTCTCCATTTAATTCTAAACAGTACCCTATGGTTAGGGTTACTTTTAGGCCCCAAAGAGGTGGAGAATAAAATAACAAAAGCTTAGGAGATCTCTGGATGCCACTAGGTGAGAGCACATGCTTGCTTGTCCGATCTTCCTTGAACTTCTTGTCACCTTTACCCTACTCCCACCTCTTTATAGGCTTATAAATATAATTAAGATTACAGTGAATTCTAGGATAGGCAGTATTGAGAATCCTTAAGATGATTCAGCGCCCTGTCAATTATTCTTGTCAATTACATCTAAAGATTCAGTGAGAGGCACCTAAAGCTGATATACCTGGCCTTTAAATTCTGAAAGCCTAAGTTATACACCCCTTTTTGTTGCTGTTGCTACTGTTATGTTCTTTAATCTGTATGCAATGCTTTTGTCACCACTTGTCACTTCTGTGACATGAATACTCACATGATCTTCAATAAATATAGCTGCTTGCTATTAACTGTTGGATGTACACTTGCCAATTCATTATCAAACATAAGAACCTTTACTATTATTGATCGATTCCATTGTAACAGTATATTGGGCTGAGAAGCTGACTGGGTAAATTTCGCTATCTGACTGTTGTGTGGAAAAAAAGCAGAGAAGATAGATCTGTACATTCATTCAACATATGTATTGTGGACCCACTCTGGGCACTGTTGGGTTCTGTAGGTATAGCCATAAACAAAACAAATTCTCACTCTCACATAATTTATATCCTAATGAGCATGGCAGAAAACAGACAAGTAAGTATGTAGTATGTCAGATGATAAAGTATGCTCTAGAGAAAAAGAAAGGTGATAGACCTCATTGATAAAGTGACATTTAAACCATGAGCTAAAGAAAATCAGGCAGTTAAACAGGAATATATTTGAGAATTTCCCAGACAGTAGGCCTGAAAAAAGACTAGTAGGGCTGGCGAACAAGTTAGGGAGATTGTGGAAATATTGTCAAAGAAATTGTAGGGAACCCAGTCAGGTCGATTATAGACTGACTTTTTGTCTGATTGAGTTGGGAAACTTCATAGGTTTTGATTAGAAGAGAGACATAAATTGCATTTTAAACATTGTATCGTATCACTCTGATAGTCTTTAGCTTTGCTTTGCTTTGCTTTTTACCATACTGGGAATTGAACCCAAGGTTTTCATGCTGAGCTACACATCCAACTTTCTAAAATTCTGAGACAGAATATTACTAAGTTGCCCAAGATGGGCTCAAACTTCCAGTCCTCTTGCCACCATGGTTTCTTAGCACCAACTGATCATGCAGTGATACTGAGCAAATTAAACGTCTCTTTTAAGTTGTGATGTTGAATACTGTGTCTCTTCTAGGAGCAAGCTGGCTAAAATACCTATCTTCTCTGTTTATTTCACCCTAATCCCTTTATTTATTTCTTTTTTTTTAATTTTTATTTTAAAGAGAATAAAATCAAGCAAAATAAAACAATAAAACCAATCAAAACTAAACAGTGTAAGTGACACAGGACTTAAAAACAATAATAGGAAATCAACAATAGTTACCGTAACCCTTCTTGTCTTCAAAGTAGCTACCCATGCCTTCAGACATAGTAAAAATCAAAACAGAATAGAAAAGAACCAATAAAAACAAAACAGTGAATGCAATAAAGGATTTCAAAACAAGATAATAGTAAATCCAAAATGGCTACCATAATATATCTTGCTATTTTTGAAATAGTTGCTCATGCTATTTTATACATAATAAAATCAAATGAGACCAAACAGGATAAAACTCAGCCCAACAAAATAATGAAAATGATGTAAACTTCAAAGCAAGATAATAGGGAATTAGCAATGGCTAACACCTTCAGAAGGAGATCCCCATAAATGGCTTCATTGCATATTGTTATCCTCTGAATAGATGGTCAGACTACCAGCTTTAGATCTGCAAAGTCAGTGAAACACTGAACACTACAAGCATTAAGT